ATCCAAAGTTGTTGATTTATCCGCCAATATGGTTGTTCGTCTATAAGGATTTCTAAAAACATTGTATCAATTATCAAACCACGATAGCATTTTATTAAGCAGTTCTTGGCGTCACCTCTTTGCTCTTAACAGTACCAAACTGCATTATAGCTATGCTATCATTCTCAAACGGGTGGACAGACCTAAGGTTCTCAATCATTGTTTGGAGTATGCATGCATATACTTTTACTACTCCAAGGTCATGGTCTACTTTTTTATGTTGGGCCAAACTATGCTACAATACCATATTCCATACAACTATAAAGATGACTCCTTTTCAAGCTCTTTATGGTCGCCTTCCTCTTACCCATTCCTTCCTATGTCAGTGGAACATCCAACATTAGCACAGCTGATACTATTCTCATCAACTGAGACATGCTACTCCATGGTCTGTGCCAAAATATGCAGCAGGCTCAGAATAGAATGAAATTGTTGGCAGAATACAAGAGGCATGACATCAGTTTTGCAGTTGATAACTGGGTTATGATTTAATTACAACTTTTTGACAATCTTCTATCGTGAACCGCACACAAACCAAGTTAGCTAAGTTCTGTTCTGGACCTTTTCAGATCCATTCCATTATTAATCCAATTGCATACCGCCTTACACTAAACTTCAGGAAGCAAGATTCACCCAGTTTTTCTATTCTCAAATCTTACAAAGGCAACCCACCGTTTCAATCCATCTCACTTCTTGATTTCAGCTTTAACAATAGGCCCATCGGTTTCTAGAAGCTAATCCAGCTTCACATACCATTCAACTTCATGGTAATCCTCACCGACAAGTTCTTCTCCAATGGACCATGTCAAGGCCAGAAGATGCTTCATGGGAAAATTTTTCAGCTCTCTATACTCCATCTCCCTCTCTCAACCTTGAGGGTAAAATTGTTTTTTATGACAACGGGAGTGTTAGGCAACAGCTTATTTGCTTGGATCCCACCACAATACAAAAAAGTGGGAAGAATGGCTAAAAACTATTGAAGATTCATCAAAAGATTACAATACAATCACCAAGTATATCAACAAAGGAAAGAACATACTGCAACCAAATTGATTAAAAAATAGGAAACAGGCCAGCAGCAGCTGCTGTAATCAGTTTGCATTAATTAGTAAGCATCCTCTTAGTTCGTAATTAGCTTTTTTATTCATGTTTTTCTGTTTAACCCTACTCAACCTAGCCTTGGCACCAAGACTGGTTCAGCTAGTGGACCATGAGCCTATAAAAATCTCTTGTACTGTTTGGGTAATAAATAAAGAAATCTTTGTTTCTTACATCTCTTTTCTCTTAGCTGGAGTCCACATCTACTCAAGACGTGACCTATCCCGCTTCTTGTTATGCAAGAAGCCTATCAGCATGCAACATCTAAAGAAAGTATGTAATATTTAAGAGTTTGTTTAGGATGTTTTCCCTTAGCTTAGCTTTGCAGATCGTTATCCAACTTGTATTTGACCCTACTTTGTTTCTACTCCTTATACATTTTTTTTGCGATACGGAGCTATTTGAATCCCACTCCCATCATCTGTGCCACACTACCATGACATATGATCCCTCTTTTGCAATAATTATCTTAACTGCTTAACCCATAGATTTTAAAGAAATTCCAAGACAATAAATTGTTATGCGCTACTCCTCATGCTAAGATCGTTTCTTATACTAGCTTCTCTTAGAGCAAGTTCCTCTGACATTCATGTGCTTGTTTTTATATATTAATTTCATTGCATAAGCTTCATGAATAAACATTTTTTTAAAATTTTTTAGGAGATGTATGAAAATGGATTCGCATCCCTCTAAAGGTTGGAAGATCTAAAATTAATGTGCTTTTTCTATATTTACATGACTTATTATTTATAGTTGTATGATCCCCTATTCATGTGGAAATGTGGAATTCATTAACCTAAAAGTTCTGCAAAAATCTTATTTTTGTTTCAAAGTTAGTAGTCTCGAGTCCAAATTTTTTATCCAAAAAATATTATTAATTAGATGCTTAATTTAGAGCTTTTCTTTGAATATATCTCATGCTTAATTGTGAGAAAATTTTAAAGAAAGCTATTTTATTTCATTATTAAAAAAAAAAAATTGTGTAACATATATTACAACAACAAGAAGAAGCCTTTACCTCACTACATGGTCGGCTATATAAATTTTTTTTTTCCATTATATCCTATTAAGAGTTAAATTCCAATTTAAATCTAAAAAAATGTCATTTTTAATACTTTCTACCAAGTATTTTTAGGTCTACCTCTACCTTTCTCAACATAGGTCAAATCTAATACCTTTATCTTTGTTAACATAGGTCTACCTCTGCTAATCGAGTCATCAAGGTCGAAGTTTTATATGACCAAACAATCTAAGGCGACTCTCTAATCTTATCTACCATTTGAGCTACTCCAACCTTTTCATCAATATACTCATTTAGCATTTTATCTCTAGATAAACCCATTCATCCACTTCAACATCCTCATCTCTGCAATATATATAAGCTATTTTATTTAATATATATTAACGTATTAAAAAATTGCATTTTAAAATGAGGATGTAATGGTCCTTACTACAAATACAACAAAACCAAACACACAAAAAAAACACTTTCTGATATGATTTTCCAAACATTAATAACAGCTTCAACCATGGCAGCTTCTCAATTAACTTTACCAACAACAATAGTCACCCCAAATAACCCTCAATTAAGAAAATATGCATAAAATAAGGTAAATTCTATGAGTATCTCTAAATCTATGATGTGAGACTAGAATCTGTCTTGCATCACGTTTTCCCTGCCAATTGCAAGAGAGGAAGAAGGGTTAGAATAGGCCAGCTCAAAACCGTTATATACTTTTAATTATAATAGGCTTAATTTTTTAATAAAGTATTCTCATTTAAATTTAATAAAAAACCAAGTCTTTTTTAGGTTTACCTATTCCTTTCTTAACATAGGCCAAATTTAATATTTCTACTTTCCTAAGCGGGTCACTGGATGATCGACATTTTATGTGACCAAACCAACTAAGGAAGCTCCCTCTAATCTTATCTACCACTGGAGCTACTCCAACCTTTGCAGATTTTGCATTCTATCTCTAAGTATAAAGCCACACTAATCCACCTGAGCATCCTCATCTCTACAACACTTTATTTTATGCTTCCCTTTTAATGACCAACATTCTAGGCCATAAAGCATTGTAGTTCTCACCATCATCTTATAAATTTTTTCCTTTTTGAGGGATACATTTCTATCACACAACAGGCTTGATGCATTCCTCCACTTCAACCATCCCACTTGAATTCTACTAATTTATTTCACCATCACTTAGAGCAAAAAACTTGAGATATCTAAAACATGCACTCTATTTAATGACTTGGTCACCCAATGTCACAATCTCACCACTAGATCTGTTATCACTAAAATTACACACCATGTATTCAATTTTAGATCAACTCAAACAAAAACATATAAACTCTAAGATTGACCTCCATAATTCAAGTTTTACTTCAACTCCCTCTCTAGTTGTCAACAAAAGAATATTATCAGCAAAAAGCATACACCAGGGTACATCCTCTTGCATATGTATAATACAAACATCCATTATTAAAGCAAAAAAGATATGAGCTTAAAACTAATCATTGATGTAATCCAACTAAAATAGGAAAATACTTGATCAAATCACCTTGTGTTTGAACACAAGTACCAACTCCTGTATACATATTCCTAATAAGTTAAATATAAGCATTATTTGAACACAAGTTAATTTTGCAATGCATTCAAAATATACAAAATTCCGTAGGAAATTTTTTCTATATTCCCTCATAAAAATGATTGTGGTATCAGATGAGTAAAGATTATATAATGACTATTGGTTTCCCCTATCTAACTTGGGAACTTGGCTTTGACACCACGCTACTCTTTTTGAATATATGACCCTTCCCTTCAAATACTGAGTTGCGGCTCAAACATTGACCTCAAACCCACACTTATTTTTTTTATTTCAACACTACTTTTCTAGATATTCTATTGTAGATCACTCGCACACAATTCTAAAATGGAAAAAAAAAGCTCCTTCCAGTTCCAAAAAAGCTCCATAAAAAGCATACAATTAGATCGTGCAAACCAACGTCCAATAAATAAGAAAAGCACTAATCTTTTGTGTCTAATTCTTTTTTGACGTAATTCTAATTTTATTCTTCAAATCACAGCATCAAAATTATAATAAGGTTAACTCACCTGTGTTACTGAGAAGGGAAGGTTATTAAAAATCACGTTTCAGAAAATAAAAACACTAAACAGGAAGGCAAGTATAACATTTCTAAGAAGAAAATCAAATCAAGTTCATGAAATTGATCTACGAGTTTTCACTCAACCGAAGAACAAAAGCTTCTGAGACAACATTTACAGGAAAAAGCAGGATCCAGAAATAATCAATCTAAAACAGAAAAAATCTACGTCAAAACAAGTAGCCACGTTAGGTTATGCGCAGAACGTTTGGGGTCGGCAGGGTGGAAAGCCTAAATTCGACTATTAATAGAAAAATTCAACGCAACAAATTAAAAAAATAAATAAATAGTAGAAAAGACTAACTTCTCAATCAAGTCCCAGTTTGTAAAGCTAGAAATCAACTGCAACTGGAAGTAACAAACTTTCTAATATGATTAGCTAAACTGCTTGTACACGTAATCCGAACTTGGCTAACTAGTGAATTCAAATAGAATATATCCTTCACTTACAAATCAAATTAGGGAAGAAAATCATAAAGTTATACCAAAATCCACAAATTCGAAAGTAAACTCCATCTATGCACAAACCCCGACTAATAACAGCAGTAGATAAGTTAATTTGCAACTCAAACAAAAAAGCGATTTGAATGCAAAAAAACAGCATCAATTTCCAAAACGTTTCCATACTCTCCAATCTAAAAACCAAAACCTAGATAATCAATAAAGTGAAACAGCGTCTGATTGAATCTGCTCACCTTCTCCCCCACCTTCAGCGGCAACATCGCCTGAGCCAAATCCGCGACTCCCCCTTCCTCAGCCAGTGGCTGCTCCTCCAGCAACGGTATCTTCCTCCCAAATAGCTTGATCGCTGGATCTCTGACCTCAGACATTCCTCCACTGTCAACCCTAGCCATATTATCACATCCACTTCCCAAAGCGAAACCCCAGGGACAGAAAACGCCGGCAAAGAAAAAAATCCGAGCCAAAAAAAAATACCAAAAGGCTGTGACTCTGAGAGAGAGAGAGAGACCGAGAGAGAGAGGGAAAACAGCCTTTGTAACCGGGAAGCGCCGGTCCGATTCAGGCCTGGTGCCAGCTGGCATCCTAGTCAGCGTTTGAGAACATTTTCAGCCACGAGTTCTCGTGGCTGTGGATCGCGAAATGACGTCAGCATCGAAAAGACGACAGGGCACCGCGAAAAAGAGTCTGGAAAAGGGCAAAGAAAATTACAGTAAGATAAGGGCAACATTCGTGTCTTTTTTCTGAAATTACGAGATTGCCACCATTGAATTTACGGGAATGCCACTACAGTGCGGATGCGTAACTAGGTAGCGGTAGTCGCCTTAGAATATCTCTCGACATATTCAGCCTTTTTTTTTTTTTTTAAGATTGTTATAAAATTATTTTGTAAAATAATTTTTTAATTATTATAACATATAATTTTTAATATTAATTTTTTTAATAATAAAAAATAGTAATCAAAATAAAATTTATGATAAAAGTTTTTCAGAATAAATTCTAACACTTCTATTTAAAATAACTATGTCGGAGCAAAAATGAGATATTATTTGTATTTATTTTGATATCTTCAATATATCTTCTAATAATAATTCAATTTAAAAAAGAATATAGCCTCCATAAAATGTAAATATGCTTGGTGAGCTTTGTGCAAACAAAATCTTCATGAGAGTCTCCATCTGTCAATATAACATTTGCTTACATGTAGCAACAGAAGAGAATACAAGAGTAAAGCTCGTTCTCTTTTAATGATATAAAATATAAACTTATTTTTAATGGCCATCCTATATTAAGGGTCATATTATAATGACTTAAAATTTTTAAAATATACATCAAAACATTGAAGTACTTAGAATCTATCAATCCAGTTGAACTTTATTCTCGGATGAGCCTATCATTCGCATGTACTCAGGTTACATAACTAGAATTATTTCAAAACTACATAGTTGTAAGTTTGCTCAAGCTTTTTATTTATAAAAATGCTCAAACAAATAGCATCCACTCAATTAAAAACAATTTATATTATCTACATTTAGTTGTGTTGAGAACTTCTAAGCCTCTTGATAATTGATGATAAACTCTCGATATATCTATCCTAAATCTTGTTTGTTCAAATGTTGCTAAGTCAATGTTGTAGCTTCATGAGCACCTCTCAACTCATTTTATTCATTTTACACAAACTCCTTGACACCATGTTCCCTTATCGCCTTCTCCTTTTCGAGCTTCACCACTAAACGCTTATTCATTTAGGGTATTTGATCGCTCAATAAGGCTTGTTGGTATCTCTAAAGATGATGCTCCAAAGAAATGATTGTTTGAGAGCATAGCTATCAAGAGAGGGCAAAAAATATAGGTATCCTAAAGATAGGACCATCATGCACTATAAGAAAGGTGAAGCCTAAGGTAATATGAGTCCAAATTGAATGACATAATATGAAATTAAGTGGATATAACATTAAGAGGCACATTATAGAAGATTGGATGATATTGTTATCATTTTAAGCACCTTAAAAGAGCATTTATATTTCTTACCTTGCTTACAAGAAAAAAAGTCTTCATTGCCATCTTTGTAGTTAGAATGAATCCAAGTATTGAAAGCCCTATTAATAGCTAAGAGATTGTCTCCATCTTTATAACTAGGATACACATATGCTTATAAATCAACCTTAATTATGATAATGAAAAAATTGATAAAATATTTTAAAGGATGAATATTAAAAGGATTATTAGAACATTAATAAAATAATATAAGAAGGAGATTTCATCAACATGCTTCTAAATCAATCGACTATGATCCCTTCGACAATCATCACCCACCAACTATGGTCCCTTCGACAATTGTCACCAGTCTACTACAGACCACTTCGACCTCCGTCACCAGCTGGCTAAGACAACTCCAACCTCAGTCTCCTACCGACTACTGTCCACTCCAACCTTCGTCGCCCACTGACTATGGCCCCTCCAACCTAAGTCACTCGCCACTAAAGTCCCTCCGATCTTCATTGCCCGCCGACTGCAGTCCCTCTGACCTTCGTCACCCGTCGACTACAATCCCTTTAACCTCGGTCACTCGCCGACTACGATCACTTCAACCTCCATCACTTGCCGACTATGGTACTTCCAACCTCAGCCACTAGACAACTACAATCCCTCTGACATTTGTTGCACGCCAACTATGATCCCTCTAACCACCATCATCTGCCGACTACAGCCCACTATAACCTTCGTCGCCCAACAACTAAGGTCTCTTCGACCTTCATCGTCCACAGAGTATGGTCCCTCCGACCACCATTGCTCGTCGACTATGGTCCACTCATAACACCATCGCCAGCCGACTATGATCCACTCCCAAACACCGTCTCTCACTGACTATTGTCTACTCCCAAACACTATCGCCCCCCGACTAAGGTCCCTCAAACCATCGTCATATGCTGGATACGATCCACTCCGAACACCATTGCCCGCCGATAATGTTTCCTCTGACCTTGAAATACGATCCCTTCGATCACTGTCGCCCGATTTAGATCTTACCAACCAAATGAGCAGGTCAACACTCTCTTGAGAATAACTCTCATGTCAGCGGATTCTTTCAACTCCAACTATGTATTGTGTTTTATATGATGTATACTTGTTACGCTGAGCCGATGCCTTCTCCGGAGAAAGGGAATCATGTGTAATCAAACTAAAACACTAGTGAATTTATTAACTAGGCAAGGCACCGTAGTTTTTCCCTCATTTTAGGAGTTTTCATGTAAAATAAATAGTGTCTCTTATGAATAATACACCCCACTCTCTTATATGTCTGTGTTGGATCTTTATATAAAGCGTGGATGATAAACCCAATATCTCTCTAACATCACGAATGTTTATTAATCTCATTGTTGCATGAGGTCCATCAATCAAAACCAAATCCAAAAATCAAGATCAAATCCAGAATCGCAAACCAAAAATCAAGGCCAAAGTCCCTTATCCTATAACCCTTTTATGGGTGATTTTTTAATCACCTCAAAACCAAACTAAAAGACCTCTAATTCATGATCCGTCAATTGCATATTAATTAGGCATGTCTCTAGGGTCAACCATTCAAATTTGAGGTCAATATGAGATCTTTAACCTCAAAAACTCAATTGGAATCCAAATTCTATAAAACCTTCAAATATAGCCCATGCCACTAGACCTTGCACATTTTAGAATTTGACCTTGGGACATTCCCCAAAATCCTTGAACATGTCCATAACACTTGTTATGGCATGTTAAACATAAAACTATACTTTGGTTGACCCTGGGTTGATCATGGGCCCACTTGACCAAAATACCCCTTAAGAAAAAAATTGAAGTTTTCTCCAAACTTTAATATGGATTAATCAAACTAAGCTATGGAACCTCTTCTAACACATCCTATACATCATTAGGAGTGCATTGAATCTCAACCAAAGTTTTGGTTTGACCAAGTTGATCAAGTCAACTATAATTGACCAAAATGCCCCTTAAGGGCCCAAACATGTATTTCATGCAACAAGATCTCACCATTGCATGGGACCACCTCCACTGGATCCAAAAATACATTTTGATTTTATTGGGCCCAATCCCAATCCTTGATTTGACATTTTTCATCAAGTCAACTAAGGTTGACCAAATCAACCATACACCCGATCAAAATAAAATTCAATGCTCTAAGAAATATCAAACCAAATCGACAACTCAAAATTATTCAGTTGGATATTTCAAGCATATCCAATATTCTCCTAAGTCAAGTCACCATTGATTTGATTTGGTCAACTCATCATGGGAGGTCAAAATCATGTATGAAATCAAGTCTTCGATCGAACTCTTAACCCTTAGCCTCAAATCCCATGAAGTTTATTTCTACAACATGTGTCACTCCCCAACACCACATCCTAGTTACATTAACTAGTTAATCAGTCAACAGTCCCTGCCAAAGCATGAAAATATGATCAAATGGGTCAAAATGACCAAGCCACCTCATCCATCTCATTTTCTTTCAAACCTTCCAACATATTCTGCTCAAAATAGCCATAATCCACCCTAAATTATCCCTAAAGCAAGCATCTAAACCAGTCTTGAGGTTGGCTTAGCCAAATAGGGAAAAAAATGGTCCCCCATATCACATGAGCCAAAACCCAAGCCACTCACAAACTTCTACCATTTTTCTAGTCTCTAACCACTTTGGACAAGTGGCAACTATCCAAGCAATCATTCCAACCCATCTTAGCCTTCCATTCAAAAGGTTAGGGTTTGGTGGGCAAAATCTCTCAAAACCCTAATTCACTCATCCCATACTCTCTCAATTGTCTCCAGCCTCCAACTCCTGTCCCATAGCTTCTCCAAGAATTCCTCTAACTTCCATAGCCATTTTTATACCATTCTACACCTTCTAAAGCCCATTTTGATGAAAAGAGAGAGAAAGAGAGAGAGAGAGAGAGAGAGAGAGAGAGAGAGAGAGAGAGTGAGTGAGTGAGTGAGAAAAAGTGGAGTTTTGAAGACAACTTCTGATCCAATCACAACCAAGTTTTGAAATCCTCAACAAAGTTATAGAGAAAATTCTTAGGAGAAAAAAGAACCTAAGAAATAAAAAATGCATCCACTTGTTAGTAAAAAATCTCTTCAACTTTTAGTATAAAATATCATTTAAAATTGCTCAAAACTTACAATGTATGGAGCCCCCAAACTCCGGGCATTAAAAGATTAAAATGTTGTCAAGGGCTTATGTTTCAAATTTTGTAGAATTTAATTGAGCATTCTTTAAGTTATGAACAAATAAAATTTTAGTTCATTTTGAACTAAAATCTTATTGGCTAATTAGAGTCGTCTGATCAATCTGAAGCCCAAATAGGAATAGGATTATTAACATCTATTCTAAAGCCCAAATAGAAAGGAAATATCCCTTAGGGGAATTCTTTTCTTTTGGGGATTCAGATTATGATGACTTAAAATCCAAAGAGAAAAGAAACACCCCTCCAAAGAGGAGTTCTTTTCATTTGAATATCTAAACCCGA